TTCAGTTTAAAATATTAATATTATTTTCAATTGAAAAAAGGAATTTATTGTACTCATAAATAATGTAAATAGAAATATAGAATACTAAATGCACAACTATAATAAATGCTCAAATTAAGCGCTATCCATCTGTATACACAGTCTAGCTCGTCGAAGTAAGTTTTGTTCAGTGTTGTAAATAATTTCAGGGGTAAATAATTGCCGGTTTTATATACGGCTAGCGATAAATGTAATTTTTAATATAAGTAATATGACCTTAAAGAAAAAGAATTTAATATAGGGTCAAGTTATCGTCAGTCTATACAAAACCGTAAGCAATCACACAATAAAATTGTTTAATTTAACCACCATTACCCCAAAAATTATTTACAATACTGGACAAAACTTACTTCGACGAGCTAGCGTCGATTGCGATATAGACTATAGACAGCTACTAACCAAATCGAATTCCAGAGATGGTGGGAGCTACGTAACTAATTGTCTTTAAAAGGAAGGGTAAACACGTGTAAATACTCTTCGAGCGCCTCCTGGCGCGAAAAAAACGATTGGCCGTGTCGACTCCATTCGGAAGTTAGAGCCACACATTATTGGAGTTGGAGTTTCGAGAGCTACGTATGTAAAACTAACAAAGAAGAGGAGCAGCTAGAAAAGTAAAAATAGTTAAGGCTTCGTTACATATTTCGAATTGAAACCGGATCAAAGCAAACATGTCCGTCGTGAGAGGCGTTACGGTTCTTTTCACGCTCTCGGTAAGTAATAATATCTATTCCGAAAAAGATTAGAACAAACGATCGACGTACAATAAATGTGGGTTAAACATTCGCGTAAATTGCGATAGGAAATCGAGCCACATAAAATCCTTCGTTCGCGATTTTATCGTGTTCCTAATTTCTTCGAAACCTTCCGATCGTGCAGGTATTCCTACAAGATATCTTTGCGACTGTATATTAATTTTTCATAAGATTCAATCACCAATGGTTGGAAATTAAGGTATCGACGAAAATGACGCGGTGGGAAAATGGATTAACGCGAAACGTGCCGCACTCGATCTGTCCCATCGAAACTCAAGTTGATTTTAATTTGTCCGAATATCCATCAATGGCGTAACTTCGATTGCTCATTTTTCTACTTCTCTTTTCTCTAAAAGATCTTTATTCTACAATAGCTGTAAGGGTCTATCCAGATAAACTTGCATATTTGCATAACCATATGCATATAGAAAAGTATCGAAGAGCATTTTATGTGTGTTTCTGTAATAGAAATGCGATTGGATAATTTTTTCTTTACGCATTTATGCAATTATGCAAACTATGATTATGTAGCTATGCAAGTTTGTCTGGATAGACCTTAAGCCGTAAAAATTAATCCATTATATTCGATTATTTTCTTCATATTTCTTTACGATTGGTCAACTTTTATGGCTTACAGTTATTGTAAAGCAAGCTAAAAGCTGCGTTCAGAGTGCGCGCTATCAGCTACTACGTCATTTTGTCCTTATTTTACATCTAATTAACAATAATGATAAAATGTATGACACATCGAAAATGCAATTATATATCATTATATTTTATTTTTATCGTTTTAATTAGACGTAACGGTGAAATTTTGCAATAGCACTGATAGCACGCTGCCCAAACATATAGCCTTTTTGGGGTTTATTCAGACAAACTTGCATGTATAGCTACATAAATACATAAAAAAAATTATCCAATCGCATTTTATGTTTGCTCTTTTAATAGAAATGCAATTGAATAATTTTCTTTATGCATATGATTATGCAGTTGCACAATCAACAAATGCAATTGAATAACTTTCTTTATGCATATATGATTATGCAGTAACTGCACAATCATATATATAAAGAAAATTATCCAATTGCATTTTTATTATAAGAACGAACGTATAAAATACGATTGGATAATTTATCTTTATGTATATGATTATTCAGCTATGCAAGTTTATCTGGATAGACTCTTACTCGTACAGACACTTGCTATACGAGTCGACGTGCTCGCGCCGCTCACTACCATTCCGTCATTTCCGCTTCGCGTCCATTTCAAACATCTCGGAATGTTTCTTAACGAGTTCAACATCGTTTCGTTTTGCTGTCCAGCGACTTCAAGTACGTATTCTATCTAATCCTCAACACTCGCTCGCAAAGACATATGTTGTCCGATACCGCGAATTTCTCTCGGATTAATTCAAGTTGAATTGATCGAAACAACGATTCGCTGGATTCAGTTAAAAATGGCGGCATTCCACGAGAATTAAGTTTTCCGCCGCAACATTACGTTTTAACTGATGATTGTGTGTAGTTGACAATTATGACGACAATCGTCATGATAATTTTCACTTTCCAGCGTGCTATGTGCTTATTCCGAGAAGCCGTCGAGCCACGTACGTTTTCCGAATTAATGTATGTTTTCATTGCTCAAAAACAATTATAATTATCATGTTCAATTGAGATGAGAACAGAACGCGAGTTCTTCTTGCTGTAACTGCTTCATTAAGATTTTTTTAATATATACCTGTCTAGATGCTAACGAGAGTTTGTTTTCTGGCGACGAGTGAGACCGTTTCGTTCAATACAGTAAGAAATGTCAGAAGCACCGCCGAAATGTCGAAGTTTGACTTACCGGATCGTTTCAAGGGCAATGAAAAATCCGTCTGGTAAGTAACATTACTTTAGATATAAAACAAATTTGTATATAAACTTGCTACACATATTGATTATGTTCGTTTGATTAGGATCGAATACGAAGAGCTCGCACATAAGTACAAGCCAATAAATTTGGGCCACGGCTTTCCTGACTATCATGCGCCAAAGAATATAACCAACGCTCTGGCTGCTGTCGCCAAAAGTGACGATCCGCTTTTGCAACAGTATACGAGAGGATTCGTAAGTATAGCAGATGTTCTATTCACTTGACTTTTGAATTACTTTGTACAGTCTCTTGTTAATTTGATTTAATTTTTTTATGAAACGTATTAAAGTAGAGCCAACGTATGCGAGCCAACACGAATGTTGGTGTATAATAATTTTCTTTTGCAATTCCCAACCTCATGCAAACTGCCACTGCGCGCCGCATATTCGTCGGTCTTCAAACACAGCTAATTTATTACATGAGGCCGGAATCACTTGTAACAATTTAAATCGACTAACGATTTAATTTCTTTGATACTAATACGCATCTGTAAAAATCCCCTTCCCCCCCCCCGAATCTGTAAATTATTACACATCCGTGTTGGCTCGCATACGGCCTCTAATATGTTTGATATATTCTCGTGACTCTATTTCTCTAAATTATTTTTATAAAACATTAATGCAGTACTATAATTACGATTATTAATAAATGATAAAATTATCTTATCTATGCGTGAGTGAATTTTATTTCACTAACTATAAATGTGAATGTTGCAGGGTGAACCAAGACTAGTGAATGCAATTGCAAAGTTATACTCCAAGCTTCTCAATCGTAATGTGGATCCGAACAAAGAAGTTTTGATCACCATTGGTGCTTTTCAAGCGTTATACTACGCTCTGCAAGGCAACACTAATCCCGGAGATGAATGGATCATCATTGAACCCTTTTTCGATGCTTACCTATCTATGGTGCAGATCGCCGGAGGAATTCCCAGATACATAGCATTAAAACCGGTAAGAAGTTTGGATAATTCCAATTCCAATGGCGCTGCAGCTCAGATCGAGCTTTGGCCTATCTGCACTCTCTTCATACGCCTGTGGTGCGCACGCTGGAAATTGTACACAAGCATATACCTGCAATTAGGGCTGGGCACATTTCAAATACTTGTATTTGAAATATAATTTGTATTTTGTATTTTGTATTTCAGCGGAGCACATAAGAGTATTTTGTATTTTGTATCTTAAAACAGTTATTCAATGTATTTTGTATTTCAAATACAATTTCAATCTATTTTGTATTTGAAATACTAAAGAAATTATTGATAAAAATTCTTGACAACAATTAATAGTAACTTCAATTTTTCTCATATGACAATTAGCGACACTAATTATTTTCGTCAAGTTTCAAACAATATCAAGT